TGTAGATAGGACAAAGATTCAGCCACTGAATTGGTCTTGGTGGTCGCCAGTAACTCAGAGTTCCTGGCTTTTACAGGTTTTGCCAGGCAGGTGTGTCTGTTTCCATAAAGAAAGCACGCATTCTCCCAGATGGCACCAAGGTATTGAAACAGAGGCAGATAAACTGAGTCCAGAAACACGGAATAATGGCTGTAGGTTCCAGCACGTCCCGACTGTGACACAGCTGCTCACACCGCCGCTAACTCTGGGATGGTAACGAACCTACGGCAGCGCGTGAAACAATGAGACTGGTCTAACCAGGGTGGTAACCAGATGCTCTGTGATAGGATTCGGGCTCAGCTGGGTGTGAGAGCCTGTGGGGAGAGACGGCTCGGGGAAGATCCACAGTTTGGGAGGAAATTGTAGGCAAGTGAAATTGCCCCAGGTCTTGAGGATGGAAAGATTTGAAGGGAAGAAGGAGCACGGGGTGCTTTGGGGACACTTAGAAGAGGCGGATGAAGCTGGTTGGAACAGAGATTTGTGAAGGGCGGTGGTCATGTATGAACCAAAGTGATGAAACCAGGTTTGCAAACCAGACACCTAGGCAGGTGATTAATTAATGTGCAGACTCGGGGGTGGGGGAAGGGATATTTGAAACTGAGATTGTCAAAGAAAATCCATCCCCATGGAGGACCCAAGTTGATCCAGTATGGTGGCCAAGGTAAAGAGATCTTACAAGAGCTCCGATTTGGACGCTACAGGTCAACCATCATGATGAGAACAGCATTTTAGAAAGATTGGAGTCAGGATGCTCTACCCCAAGGTTGCAGATCTTTCCCGAAGGAGAGGCTTGAACTGTCTGGAGGAGCTTGGTAAATATTTATCTACCAAGTTGTGTGTTCATTGAATCACAGAGGTTGTGCCAACCCTGGTCACCAGTGCCTCTCTAACCCCTAACACGGAGCTTGGCACTGAACAGGCAGTGGATGCGAAAAACCCAGGCACGGTATTCAGGATAGGTGGGGAGCATAATGATTTGGAGATAATACAGGCAATAAGAAAATTAAAAACGGGCTGTTCTTATTCACCAGGCAGACGTGTCATTTAATGATTCTGACTTCAGACCGTGGCTAAACAGCAGAGAATCCATGGGATGACGCTGGGTGTATTTTAGGGTGTGTGTGAACTGTTTCTGATCCTGCAGCCCAGTGAGATATTGGAGATTAAAAGCTGCAAGTCAGAGAGGCAGCGCCGGCCTGTTTTCCTGTGCTTCTGCAGGAAGTGCATTTTATAGAAAAGGCAGAGAGGAACTGAGGGGAACCAGAGGGCGGTGGGCTGGGGAATTCACAGCAGCCTGACGAGGCACTCCGGCGCGCACTCTGCGGCTGGCCCCTCACGGGCAGGCGCCGCTCCGTGGGACCCTGGAGCCCCTGGGCCAGCCTCTCCCGGGCCCCGGGAGGCTGTGTTGATGAGGACGCTGCCTCCAGCCAGAGTCTAGGATGGTAAGAGGTTCTCGTTCTTTGATTGAGGCACTAGTTGACTGTTTGAGTCCCAAATCCGTTCTCTGTGTGTGAGTGACTTACAAATGTCTGTAGGATTCTTTTTAACTTGTTCATGTTTTCGGAGCTTTCATTGTGTTCTCTCAGACACAATGAAGATCTCTGGTTCTTCTCTTCAGGACCCTTTGTCGGGAGCTTGGCCATTCCTAAGACTTGGGGCGGCCGTGCGTGCTGGGGGTGGAGAGCTTGCTCTAACATTGTTTGCTGTTTCAGGCGGAGGGCAAAAAGCGCTCAGCCAGAGTCAGAGCAGTGGCAGTGGGAATCTGCCTCAGTCGCACTTCACCCTGTGCTGTCCTGGAAGATTCTAGCAGCCCCCGAGAAGTCGGAGGTGGCGTCTCTGTGGGGCCGGCCTCAGTAGAGCGTGGCGGTTCTGAGAGCTCTCGTTCTGGGATCTGGGGGTATTTTTAGACGGGGCTTGTTCCTACAGATGAGGAAGTCTAGCAGATGGCCCTTCCGGCTGCTTTCTTTTTTTTTACCCCTCCAGCTTTCCACCAACATAGACTGGACCCGCTCTGGCAAGGCTTCTGTGTCTAAGGACAATGGGGGGAAAAGCCATTCTGAAAACCCCGGGCAGCTGTGCAAGGCTGCATCTCGGAGCACGCCGTGCCCGCAGCTCCGCTGTTCCTCCCCGGTCCCCAGTGGCTGTGTCATCTGCAGTGGGAGCCTGGGCAGGCACAAGCCGTTTTTCACGCTGCGTGAGCTGAGACCCCCGCAGAGGCCACTCTCCCACTGCCGATCGGGTCGCCCACCAGTCAGAGCAAAGTCTGGGGGTTTTGCACTCTGAAGCCACTTCCTTAAATCACATGAGATCGGATCTCATTTGTTAAAGACGGGGTTTGCACCAGTTTTACGAATGAGGACTCAGATTGTTGGGAATGAAGGCCAGGTGCCCTGTAAAGAATTTGAGTCTGGCGCTCGTGTGGTCACCTGGCGGAAGCTCTGAGCCAGCAGCCCATTAGGCTCTGAAAGTCGCCTTGGGAAGAAGAGGAAAGCCCTTGCCTGGGAGTCTTACGCAAGTCTGTCGCACCCAGAGACTGCAGATGCGAAAACAACTTGATTGTGAAGTCTCCTCTTTGATGACAAGCTTCTCTTTCATTTTCGAAATTTGATGTGGTTTTGCTCCTTCCCTGATTAAAGTGGCAATTCCTGAAGAATGCAGACGGCACAGGTTTCCAGGGCGGGAGCTGTTTGATGCAGCGCATCTGGAAGAGTCACTCCCTGGAGTTTACCTTGAAGAAGGCTCGCCCCAGTGTGTGTGTGTGTGTGTGTGTGTGTGAGAGAGAGAGAGAGAGAGAAAGCGTGGTCTTCCCCAGCGACACCTGAGCACTCCTGATGCCTCCTGGGCTGTCCTCACCCAGCTGACCGGGGCTTCCTTAAACTTGTCCAGTAGACAAGCAGCAGTTGTATCCCCAGAAGCCATGAAAGTCCCACTGTGGCCTGGAAACTAGGATCTGCTGAGTTCTACGTTCAGGGGCTTCCCCCACACCCCCACACACACATAGAATTTCTCCAGTAATCACAGATCCAGGCTGATTCTGTCTGAGGACACTTGGACCCTTGTCTTCAAAGCTGTGGCTTTGCCCTTCCTCTGCCTAGGTTTGGAAAACTCAGCTGCGAGCTCTCGGAAGCACCTTTCCCACCCAGGCTGTGGAAAGCCCTCCCTGAGGCTGCCTGTCCCGCCGGGGGACCTGGTGGGAATCCTGAGGCATCATCCTTGGGGTCCTGGCCTCTCAGAGGCACAGGAGCACATCATGGGCCACCCCTGCGCCCCTTCAGGCCTTCCTGATCTTCTCGCCTGCTAGGAATGGTCATTTTCCATTTGTCAGATATTCCAAGCACACAGTAAAATTCAAGAATAAGTGAACTGACATTCTGGTGTCTCCCGCTAAGATTTTTAAAAAATATTAGCATTTTGCCATTTGTTTCGAAAGCTTGTAAAAGTAAATATTACTGATACGTGGAAGATTCCTCCCTATCTGATTCTATTTCTGTTGAGCAAGGCTGTTATAGATCAGGAGTCAGTAACTTGTGACCCACAGCCAGCCAGCTGTTTATCTGTGTTTGTAAATACAGAGGTTTTTTTTTAAAGGTTTATTTGAAAGCCAGAGTTAGAGAGCCATGCATCCACTGGCTCCCTCCTCCTGCAAGCACATTTCCTAATGATTTAAGTCTTGCAATATCTAGACAGTGATACTGAAATAGAACGTGTATCTGAGGGTTAAGAATAGCGAGAGAGGCATTTTTTAATTTAATGAATGCATTTTTACATAGATACAACTTTAGGAATACAGTGGTTCTGGCCCCCGTGCCCCCGACCCCACTCCTATCCCACCTCCCATTCCCTCTCCCATCTCCTTCTTCATTATGGATCATTTTTAGTATGACTTTATATACAGAGGACCCACTGTGCTAATCATAGATTTCAACAATTGAGGCATGTTTTCTCAGGAGCACTTTGCAAGGATGGCACTGTGTCACAGCAGGTAAAACTCCTGGCTCCTGACTTCAGATCGGCTCAGCTCTGGCTGTTGCGGCCATATGGGGAATGAACCAGCAGGTGGAAGACCTCTCTCTCTGTCTCTACCTCTCTCTGTAACTCTGTCTTTCAAATAAATAAAAATAAATCTTTAAAAAATTTAAATAATATTTTCCTTAATTCCAAGGGACAACTTTCACCTTTTGAAGTCATGGCAAGAAAGTACCAGGCAAGTAAAGAAATCTGACATGTTTAGCCCTGGTTTGCCATTCACTTGCCGTGGGATCCTGCGGGAACTACTTAATCGATGCATGTGCATTGGCTTGTATGATTCTGTTTCGGGTTTCCTTTGTAGAGACGCTACATGGAATGTGATTGATACCACGTGTCTTGGGAGATGGGCTCAGAGTATGAGGAGAGTTCCTTCCAAACTGGAGCTTTGTGCTTGGCCAGGTTTCATAGACTCACTTTTCACCACACCCAGAAAGTCTCCCACGTTGCATGCACCTAAGATGTCCGAGAGTCCCTCTGCTCCCTCCCTTAAACCATCTCTTTTAATTTTCTAAAAAATTGATTGAGAAACTGAGTATATAGAGGAAGAGAGAGAGGGAGAGATTGAACTTCCATTTGCTGGTTCATTCTACAAATGCTGGAGCCCAGAACTCAGTCCAGGTCTCCCAGGTGGGTGACAGGGACCCCACTACTTGAGCCATCACTTGCTACCTCTCAGGGTGTACATTAACAGAAAGCTGGAGTTGGAAGCAGAATGGAGACAGGAGCCCCGGCACTCCAGTGTGGGGTTCAGACGTACCAAGTGGCTTTTTGACCACTTACCAAATGTCCATCCCCTCTCTGCCCCACTAATGTGAAAGCACTCACTGGCATTGGCCAGGTTTCAAGAGCATAGTAGCTTCCTGATCTCATGGCTTTGGTTTTGAATGGAAACCCAACCAATTGTTTTTCTTGTTTGTCCCTACATTTTCCAGGCACCTTTTAAAAATGAACAAGAGCAGCTCTGACTTGGAGAAAGTGAGCCAGGGTTCTGCAGAGAGTCTCAGCCCGTCCTTCAGGGGCGTCCAGGTCAGCTTCACCACCGGCTCCACCGACAGCCTGGCCTCGGACTCCAGGACTGCCAGCGATGGAGGTAAGGGGCTGGACCTGGATGTGGAGGCTCAGGTTTTCCTGGATGTGCAAGGCCGGCCCTGGGTTGATTGGCAGGATGTGGGAGCGCTGAGCAAGGGTCCAGCTTTCACCACGCGGTAGACTACCGAGGAGCAGCCAAAGTTAATCCCTGGTTGAATGTGTGGCAGGCCACCCATCGCCGTCGTGATGATAGGGACTCCTTGGGTAATGAGCCATCTCTGTACAGGATATAGATGGCTTTCCGTTTCTGTCCACAGTGGTTCTGAGCAGGTAGGAAGCACGCCAACACCAGGTTCTGCCCCTCTTTCTCTGTTGCTCAAACATGTGCACACACATGCACACACATACACGGACACGACAGGTGCTTCCTGGAGGGTTTATTGGATGAAACACGGAGCCTTCACCAGGCTGCCCTGTGTGCCCAGTTTCTAGTTTAAGCTCCAAGGTATTGGAAAAGGAATCCTGATGTTTCGGGAATCCTGGCGTGGATGGAAGCACTCTGCCTGTTGGCGTTCCTCGTGTGTGCCCTCGCCTGTGTCTCAGACATGCGTTAGTGCATTGGGCTGAGGCGTGGGCTGGCAGGACCTCCCCGCTTCCATTGTGAATCTGCTGTCAGTGGCACTCTTCTGTCTCGAAGGTGGGTACCAGCTCAGACTCCAGCGCGTGTGCTGAGTCGGTCCGTGGCATGTTCTCATTGGAAACCTCTGATGGCCCTCAGTTAAAAACAGGAAATATCTCAGTCTTGATTTGGGAAGAATGTGGCACAAAAGGATTTTCTTTTTCTGCAGAGTTTTCCGGACTCCTATCATCTTCCTTTTCCCATCCCATTGTGCAAAAAATCTCACGAGACAGATTATCCCAGAAAGGGCTGGCCGTCTGCACCCTCGGTCCCTGGGCTGGTCAGTGTGGTCAGCTCTGAGCCCCTGTCTGAGGGACTGGGGGCCAGTTCTGCTGTGGATCTCTCTGCCAGCCCCCAGCCCACTCGTGTGGATGAAAATGGGGCTCATTTGCTTCCCCACTTGCTTCTGAGAGCCCATCAGTGATATCTGCTCTTGGGGCAGCCAGGAACGATGGGATTAAGGCACAGACCACACCCGGGGGTGGGAGAAGAAAGACATTCAGGCTGCCCAGGGCGAAAGTATTGGGAAAGGCTTCTGGAGGAGAAAGAAACCAATGAGGGCCCATGGAAGGTTCAGGGAAGGCTCCTTGAGAAAGTGGGACCTGAGCTCCTGTCTGCTGCATGGTTAGAGGTAGGGAGGGAGCTGGGAGGAGGAGAGAGGTCTCCAGGTTAAAGAAACAGGCATGGGAGAAGGGATACTTCCAGTGACAGCCAGCAAGGGGAGAATGGGACAGCAGGGGTCGGATTGCACTAGGGTCTCAAAATCAGTATGCAACAGATAGGGAGTAGGGAGCTGCTGAGGCTTATGGGTACAGTGGTGACACCCTCCTAAGTTTCTCATGTTCCCTTCTGAACCGCATGGATTACAGTGAATATGTTTTCATGGTCGGTTCTTTATCGTGAGTCAGCTTTTCACTGGAAGTGCGCTTCCACTTTCAGACTCCAGGGGCAAGCGTCTGGCCTAGCGCTGCCAGTTAAGAGGCGCACATCCCACATCTGGTTAATAACCGACTCCAGCTTCCTGCTGTGGCACATCCTGGGAGGCAGCTGTGGTGGCTCACTGGGCTTGCCCTCCACCTGGGAGACAGATTGTCTTACCGCTCCTGGCTTCCGTGCCTGCCCAACACCTTCCTACCAACCCCAGCCATTGCAGGCATTGGGGAGTGGACCAATGGATGCTACTGCACTCTCTCAACCCCACTCTTCCCCGTTTTAAATCTCTTAACCATGACCCTGGAGAAGAAGCAAAGCCACTGGTCATGTAAGTGGAACACCTTTCCGTCTCAGTCCTTGTGTCTCACAGCTGAGACTCTTGCCCACCGCAACTTTCGTTATTATTTTGCAGCCACTACCGAAGTTGAGACAGTGGATGAGCATAGGAAAAGTCAAATCAGCTCAAGCTGCAGTTCTTGGAAACTAGAATGGTTTCTCTAATAAATTAAGCCAGAGGATACTGTCCATCAGGCTATGCATTTATTTTATCAGTAAGAATTCACCAGTGATAATTGATTAAAAAAAAAAAAAGAGTAGGTGGCCTGAGTGAGTTGAAAGAAAAGTCATTCCAGGGATATCGTAATTGTAATTTGTGTAAACTTTTTGGAAATTTATCAGGGTTGGTGGTTAAAGTTAGTGATTTAAAATTTAAAACCAAAAAGAGAAGCTTTAAATTTTGTAGGAATGACATACTTGAAATCTGTAACTTTGTTATATTTTTACCAGTTTATATGAAATTCATGGTAAGAAAATGCCATCTTTATACCAATGCTAATTTCACGTGTTAGTACCTGTATTGGCTTCCGAACCATTCGTCCCTTGATCAGTGAGCTGGCTCAGTGCGAGGTCACATCTGCGAAAGCAGTTGTTTGGTGCACGCTTGATCTGAGAGGGCCAGACTGCTGTGTCAGGATAGGTCCATGGGGGCCACCAGGTAGGGCTGTCTGTAGTGAACAGAGAGGTGGATACAAGAGGGAGACGATGGGTGAGGTGGTCATGAGAAGACTGGCGCCGTAAGTGGTTACTGTGAAACACGCAGACCCATGTCGCGATAAGCTCATTTCCCTCTTGGATCTGGGGTAACATCAGAATTCAGTTCAGCAGTTCCCCAACCATCTGTGGCGCCAGGAGATTAGAGGAGGGAAGAGAGTTCATTGTCAGGCTCAACCCCTGGCACAACAGCAGATCAGAGGTCTAACTGTACAGATCTCACCTGAATGTACGTACCAGCACGGCGTGATGTCCATAGCTAGCTAACCAGACGTGGGGGAAATTGGGGAGCTCTCTTGACAGTAGTCCTCCTGTTGTTCTCAAAAATAATATCAGGCAGACTTTTTAAAATACTTGCATTAACTTGATCATTCATTTGCCAGCTGTTTGTTGAATGCCAGCAGCTATGTGCTGGGCACAAGTGTAGATGCAGAAGTGCGAGCTGTGGAAAGAAGTGCCCGGTCCCTTGTTTCCTGGACTTGCACTCTGGTGGGAGAGTGGACAGGAAGGAAGATAAAGGAGAAAGTAGCTAGTGTGTCCTGTGGCACCTAGTGCTATGGGGAAGAATCAGGGCAGGAAGCGGGCAGGTAGGGCTGGGCGGTTCATCAACAGGAGACACCGGGAGCCCACCCAGATCAGATGTCAGTCATGGTGACAGACCAGCCTTCCTCAGGCATGCGCCCCACTCAGCCTGCTACCGAGACTCTGCTTCTATCTCTATCTCTATCTCTATCTCTATCTCTATCTCTCTCCATCTCTGTCTCTCCATCTCTATCTACCTGAGAAATATTTTTTAAAATATGTTCCTGCTAAAGGCATCTGAAACTCTACCTAAATCTAGTGTCTTTTCCAACTATTAAACAGGCTTTTTAAGACTCATTTTATTTATTTGAAAGGCAGAGAGAGAGAGGAAAAGATTGATCTTCCATCCACTGGTTTACTCCTCAAATGGCCGCGGGAGTCGAGACTGGGCTGGGCCACATCTGGGAGCCTGGGATTCCATCTGGTTTCCCAGTGCTCACAGTTCCAGAGCCCCATTTGGCCGTGGCGTGGCGTCCAGCTATCTGGAGCCTGCTGGCCATGCCATGTGGGCGTCTGTTTGTTTGTTTGCATGGGCATCGCATTCCTTCTGGGCTGGCTTGATTGATGACAGGGTCTGGAGAGACTGCCCACCAATGCCGCGCTTCCCGGCCCATCGTAAAACGCTAATGACAGGCTTCCAGTTCCGGCCCGGTATCTTCCTGAAGAAGCAGACCTTGCTTGTGAAGGAACGCTTCTCTGTCTGTCCTTTTCCCCTTTAACCCTGTTCAGATCTGATTCTGGAACCAAGGCAGAGGTCACGCGGTCGGTCTTCCCTGGGAGGAAAAAGTGCCGCGAGAAGCCAGAGCGTCCCCCTGCCCGCCTCCACAGCTCTGGTCAGGAGAAACCTCTGTGACACCGGCCAGGTGCCTGTGCAGACGGCTTCAGCCGTCTCACCTCTAACACGAAGAGACGAACTAGCACACATGGCAGGGCTGGTTTTTTTTTTTGTTTTTTTGTTTTTTTTGTTTTTTTCCCGTCTGCTTTCCTGCAGTTAGTAGATGCTCAAGAAATACCGACTAATGAGTGGAAAAATCTGTAGCCATTTCCAGCCACACAACCTACTTTCCTCATTAAAGAGCTGACGCACAGAATAACTCGAGTTTATGGAGCAAAAGACAGTTGAATTTGCGCTGCCTTACTCAGAGCTGGAGATGAGTCGGACAGAGCTCAGGGCAACTCACCTGGGACTCTGGCCCTGACCTCGAGGTTTTCACCGGCCCAGCTGCTGCCGGACAGCAGAGCTGTGCTCAGAGCAAACCGAGCGCCGCTTGTTCCTGGGCTCAAAACAGGACTGACCACTTCCTCTGTGAGCCCAGCGCTCATTTTGTCTGCAGAGAACAATGAAAGTACCTATTAAAACCCAGCTAGGAGACAGGTCTGTGTCATAAGGAAGACCTCACAGGGCCACATGTGAACTTTTGGCCTGCATTTCTGCCAGGCTTATGCTGTTCTCCCAGCCACTGAATCCTCTCTTCTCTGCCTTCTAATTGTGATGCCACACTAATACGCCTTCCCTTCAGTCTTTGTGCTTACTTATTCATGTTCATGTGCTTAGGGCTGCTTGCACTTTGGTGAGTTGCCTGTTCATACCTGTGCCCATTTTTAATTAGGTTATTATCCTATCATTGAGCAAGAAGAGAAATTTTTTTTTTTGCGAATTCTAGATACAAGTCCTTTATCAGATATGTTTGGCAAATATTTTCTCCCCATCTATTGCTTGTCTTTCCATTTTGTTAATGGTGTCTTTTTAAAAATATTTTTTATAGGGCCGACGCCGCGGCTCACTAGGCTAATCCTCCGCCTTGCGGCGCCGGCACACCGGGTTCTAGTCCCGGTTGGGGCGCCGGATTCTGTCCCGGTTGCCCCTCTTCCATGCCAGCTCTCTGCTGAGGCCCAGGAGTGCAGTGGAGGATGGCCCAAGTGCTTGGGCCCTGCACCCCATGGGAGACCAGGAGAAGTACCTGGCTCCTGCCATCGGATCAGTGCAGTGCGCCGGCCGCAGCGTGCCAGCCGCGGTGGCCATTGGAGGGTGAACCAATGGCAAAGGAAGACCTTTCTCTCTGTCTCGCTCTGTCACTGTCCACTCTGCCTGTCAAAAAAAAATATATATTTTTTTTATATATATTTGAAACACAGAGTGTGTGTCTGAGAGAGAGAGAAATGTTCCAATCCACTGCTTCACTCCTCAAATGCCCACAACAGCTAGGGCTGGGTCAGGCCTAAGCTAGGAGCCAGGAACTCCATCCGGGTCCTGGATGGCAGGGACCCAAGTCTTTGAGCCATCACTGGCCGCCTCCCAGGAGCATTTGCAGGAGGCTGGATTCCAAGCAGAGGTGGGATTCCATCTGACAGCCTGCTGCATCACAGTGCCTGCCCGCATTGGTGTCATGTGGAGCAAAAAAAAGTTTTGATTGTGAGGTCAAGTTTATGAATTCTTTTTCCTCTGTGGACTGTGTTTTCAGTGTGCTATTTAGGAAATCTTTCCCCAACCCAAGTTCTCAAAGATTCTCTCCCGTGTTTTCTGCTAAAATGTGTGTGTGTTAGCTCTTACCCTTAAGTCTGTGTGATGCAGTGCTAGTTAATTTCACGCATGGTGTCAGAAAGGAGTGAGTTCACCTTTGTGGCATGGATACCTACTTGTCCCCTCACTGTTGAACACAACCCCGGCTCCCCGGCTGACCTCACTTCTGCCTCTCCCCGCAGATCTGCAAGACCCCTGAGCCCAAAGCAGCCTCCTACTGCAGCCCCTCTGTGCCCGTCCACTTCAACATCCAGCAGGACTGCGGCCACTTTGTGGCCTCGGTGCCGTCCAGCATGCTGGCCCCTCCCGACGCACCCAAGGACCCTCAGCCGGCCCTGCCCGCGCAGCCCCCAGCCCAGGAGCAGGACTGCGTGGTGGTCATCACCCGCGAGGTGCCGCACCAGACCGCCTCCGACTTCGTGCGGGACTCGGCCGCCAGCCACCGGGCAGAGCCCGAGGCGTACGAGCGGCGCGTGTGCTTCCTGCTTCTGCAGCTGTGCAATGGGCTGGAGCATCTAAAGGAACACGGAGTCATCCACCGAGACCTGTGCCTGGAGAACCTGCTGCTGGTGCGCTGTGCGCCGCAGGCTGCCCCCGGCCCCGCCGCCCCACCCACCGCCCCAGCCCCCGGCCCGGCCGCGCCTCCCCGCGCTGGCGCCTCCACGGCCCCCGCAGCCGGAGCCACCCCGAGCCCGCCGGACGCCCCCGCCTGCCAGGGCGTGCCCGGGGACAAGCAGTTGCCCCGACTGATCATCAGTAACTTCCTAAAGGCCAAGCAGAAGCCGGGCGGCTCCACGAACCTGCAGCAGAAGAAGAGCCAGGCCCGGCTGGCCCCCGAGATCGTGTCGGCCTCCCAGTACCGCAAGTTCGACGAGTTCCAGACGGGCATCCTCATCTACGAGCTGCTGCACCAGCCCAACCCGTTCGAGGTGCGCGCGCAGCTGCGGGAGCAAGACTACCGGCAGGAGGACCTCCCGCCGCTGCCGGCCCTGTCGCTCTACTCGCCCGGGCTGCAGCAGCTGGCGCACCTGCTGCTAGAGGCCGACCCCATCAAGCGCATCCGCATCGGCGAGGCCAAGCGCGTGCTGCAGTGCCTGCTGTGGGGGCCCCGGCGCGAGCTGGTGGAACAGCCGGGCCCCTCGGAGGAGGCGCTGTGCAGCACGCTGCACAACTGGATCGACATGAAGCGGGCCCTGATGATGATGAAGTTTGCCGAGAAGGCCGTGGACCGCAGGCGGGGCGTGGAGCTGGAGGACTGGCTTTGCTGCCAGTACCTGGCCTCGGCCGAGCCCCGAGCCGTCTTGCAGTCGCTGAAGCTCCTGCAGCTGCTGTGAGCCCGGCGCCCTCCTCCTGCACTTTGGCTGCCCCTGCTCGCGTGCCTGCCCCGCCCCCGCTGCCCTTGCTTGCCTTGCCAATATCCATGTCTCCCTGGGAAATGGTACAAACGGCTGTGATGCTCGGATGTAATATATATATAAAATATATAAATATGGATGACAAAGGGTGTCCTTGGCCTTGGCCTTGACCTTGGCCGTGGCCTCCTCTCCTCACCAAGCTGTCCCCGGTTTTTTCCTGTAATCACATGCGTTTCTCGCACAGTACAAGGTCTGCCAACAGAATAGAGCCTGGACATTGGCCTCACTACCCCAAGATGAGAACCCTTCACCCTCCTGTCAAACTGTTATTTAATGCCCCTCTTCCCCACACACAAAAAAAAAAATCCATTAAAAATGTTTGCTTGGGTCCTTTATCCCCAAGCACATTAATGTCTTTGGTGGTGAAACTGACTGGAAGCCTCCATGGCAACAGCAGAGCCGGGTGTGGCTTGAAGCGTCCTTGGTCTCCCACTTGAGCTAGCACAGCATGCAGCCAGGATCTGGGCATGTCAGGAACCGGGTCATCCTCCCTGCTCCTCCCCCCACCTGGCAGTGTCCCAGAAAGAAGCCACACTCAGCTAGCGGGTGTGAGCCCCGGGGATCGGAATTCACCCCCACAGCTCCAGACCCATTTCCAGTTTGCTAGAGCAGGTCACCGTTGGTATCACGTTGGTATCGGTCAGCGGCCTGCCTGAGAACAGAATCCACCCCAGAGGGGTCATATGAAGAGCTCTTAACTGGGGGTGCTTACAGAGGTGTGTGCATGGCTGAGACTTTGAGGGAGGCCAAAGCCAGGGCCAGAAGGGCGGAACATGGATGGCCTGTTTCCGGGAGTTCCTCGCACTGAGGGCTCGGTAGCCAGAGCAGGAAGAGAGCGGGGAGAGTTACCCTCTGCTTCCCTTGGTCCCAGTTGTCCTCTGTCTGCAGACAGCAAGGAGCTTGGGTGACGCAGCCCGCAGGGTCAGCCTCCTGGGGCAGGGCGAAGGTGGAGAACGGATAGAGCGCCAGGTGGCGAGTGGCCCGCTGTTCCTGCTGACCTGGGTGACACCCATGCGAGTCCAGGAGGCAGGAATTCCAACTCACAAACCCAGCCTCTCCTCTCTGCCGCCCCGAATTCCTTCATCTCTCCTGTCCTGAAAGTGCATTTAACACATTGGCACTGTGTGTTGTAGTCAGTAGTTGGTCCTGTGCCTGTAAAAATGCACAAAGAGTGTTAGGGGGCACCAGACCCTTCCCGCCTCGAAACTAGATACGTTCAAAAAGTCAGAAATTACTCATGTGAAGGGAAACAGCCCCAAACCCTTATGTTTCCACCTAGAAGATCAGCTTGTAACTACTGAACTGATAAATTCCCACAACGTGGTTAACGTCTCTGAACGACACCCCAGACTCATTGGAGGCATTGCCATAGAAGCCCCAAGCCTGGCTCCACCCACCCGACATGCAGAAAGCCAGTGGTGGAAGAAAGTAGGTGTTTATTGCAAAGTGCGGAGCAAGGAGCTGGGCAGCTATTGCTTAATTCCCGGCTCCTGGAGGAGCTAGGGTAAAGGTTCTCACGGATTGAAACTGGGGCTGAGAGGGGCATACTTAGTTCACACCCAGGTTCCTGGTTGGTCAGTGGTGCCTGGGACCTTCCTGTGATTGGCCGGTGGTGCCGTGCTCTTTGGGGAATGTATGATGGTCAGGTGGGCTCCAGTTGGTCTGGCAGCTACAGGTAAGTGGGTGTTACCTTCTGCCCCAGATCTGGAATTCCCCTAAACAGACCCCTCTGGACAGTACTGGCCAGCTGGGTTTTATCTATTGGAGAAGCAAATGACTTCTTGGGTCCCCGTGGTTAGAACTGTACTGGGCCAGCTGTATCCCTCCCTTAGTTACTGAATTCAATTACTGAATTCCTTTTGATAAGACAGGCAAGGACACCTTGGGTTAAGGGAGACAGACAAGAAGCTGTCCCATTCATAACTCTGGATAATTTCAAATGAACACAGGTCTCAGTGGGTGTCCTAGGATCTGGGACTGTGGTTAGTAACCAAGGCGGGGAAGTCTCCCAGGTGCCCCCTTACATGGTAATGTCACTGCTTTCGCAGGGCCATCTTCAGCCCTGACTGCATATAAACACGTCCCCTTTTCCATGCGTTAGCTGCAAAGACAGCACCTGGGGACACACTTGTAATTTCAATTGTTGAACATCGAAGAAAGGCCTGGTTCAAGCCAGCTCACAGCTGTGTTTGTGCAAGAGAGAGAACAGTTGAACACAGAGCATAGCTCTCTGTAGGGCCTATCTGTTTTGAGAGCATTATTTGATCATTGCTAGTTCCTAGGAATTTTCCAGGCAAACCTTCTCCACCCTCCATTTGCTGCCTTTTGCTTTCTTGTTCTTTCTCACTTCAAGTAAGTAAACAATGGAAAGGGAGGAGACAGACATTCTGCCAAGGCGGTGCAGTGCCGTTTGGAAACTCACATCTCAAGAGCACACTTCTAGTCCCTGAATTAATTGTACCTTGTTAATATGCCACCCACTTAAGAAAAAAAATAAAGTTGTAAAAGAGATTTTAAGAACCAAAATGATCCAAAAAGTAAAGGGAAAGAAGAAACTGTAGTAGTGACTCCTGCCTGAGAAATAGGAGCAATGAGACCTAGAACTTGTTTCTGAGCTCCCCACCCACCTAGAAAAGAACAGAACTGGTGACAGAATTCTTTTCTGTGTCATTTAGGAAAAGTTCATCAAAGGAACAAACGGCTGGCGCTGCGGCTCAATAGGCTAATCCTCCGCCTGCGGTACCGGCACACTGGGTTCTAGTCCCGGTCGGGGCGCCAGATTCTGTCCCAGTTGCTCCTCTTCCAGTCCAGCTATCTGCTGTGGCCCGGGAGTGCAGTGGAGGATGGCCCAAGCCCTTGGGTCCTGCACCCACATGGGAGACCAGGAGAAGCACCTGGCTCCTGGCTTTGGATCAGTGCGGTGTGCCAGCTACAGCAGCCATTGGGGGGTGAACCAATGGAAAAGGAAGACCTTTCTCTCTGTCTCTCTCTCTCACTATCCACTCTGCCTGTCAAAAAAAATTAAAAAAAAAAAAAAAAAGAGGAACAAACTTTTGCCAATGAGTGACTGTGAAGGAAATTTGTCAAGGATTCTTTGTGTGAAAGCATTGAATAATGCCCAAATAGTAGCTCAAATAAAAAATTCTAAAAAAGAATTTTTCTAAAAGAGGTCAACTTCTGAGGTGAAACCCAGGTGCATAGGGGTCACACCTGGCTTCATCCATGCCACCCATTCCTCTCCATAGATTGGCCTCCTTCATGATTGACAGGTCATGTGGCTGCAAACACGAAGACACTACAAAACCATGGAAATGGAGTTAAAGTGTAAGTTGATTTTGGTGCAAAAGTTTTTTTTGCAATCCATGTGTAATTTTTCATAATATATTTCCCCTGAATTTTTTAAACACCTCTCATTGGGTTTGACAAATAGCTTCGGTCACACCAAATTCAGGGGTCCAGTGTAACTGGGCTTGTGCTATTGCAGTGTACACCTCGGGTGCGTGGCTTTCCCTTCCAGAAAGCTCCAGCGTTGAAGAAGAAGTCCAGGGACAATCATTAGGTCTGCAGGGTAGAGCTCAGAGGCTTGTGGGTGAGTCCAGCGACTCTGCTGTTCTGGTCCTCTTCTTGGCTTGCAACCCAACTACTGATATTTAAATCTCTGTTCTTCCTCTCTGGCTCACAGGCATGTTTCCCAGGATCCTCTCCATGTATGTAATTTGTTTGTTAATGGGCTTTTCCCATTTTCGTGCCAAATATGGAATCTTTTGTGTTCTCAGTGTTCTTTCCTGTAGGCGTTATGAAGGCTCACATATAAATTGTCATATTGTGGCCAGAAGCAAGATAGGCATTCAGGGATTATTTTTCATAACACATGGCTCAGATCTGAAAAGACCTGGCTCTGGGGAGCTGTAGTTAACTGTTCCATTTAACACTTCCTGATTGTTCAAGTGCTTGGGGTTAGAGAAAAACTCTTGTGATGTACACGTGTATGCAAAACAACCTGACAGTTCTGAGGAGGGAAGACCTGTGGTGTCTGAAGGACTTCTCTGTAATGTGCTCTTTAAATACATGGCCAATCAATGAAGCAGCCTATCCCACCCATCTAAGAATCTTAGAGGATCTAAGGATAAGCTTACTAAATCCTCTAAAAGTTGTAGATTTGTCCTGTAAGATCCCTTGTTATATTTAGCAGTGATGTGAATGGGACTGATTCATTAGAAGCCAAAATTAGACCTAGTTGATGTCATGGCTAAAAGTGAACAACTAGAATGAAGTGTTCGGGGCAAATGCCATAGGGTAAGTGTCGTCACAAATCACCCTTTCTCTTCTCCAGTGCTAACGAATGCAAGTAAACGGGGCAGTCTTTATGTACCAGACATTCTAGGGCGAGGACTCTCCCCGAGGGTGGTTGGTAGTAAGTAGCTTGATGGGTTCTGCGGCCACCGGAAAGGAGTCTTAAGTAACCTGAAAATGGTGTTGTTGAGTTTGGGGAGTTTGGGGTTCTGGCCAGAAGTCCTGTGACCAATTGGGATCCTTATGAGATCTGAGAGACTCAGTGGTCTCAGGTCTGAGTACTCAGCAGTCTCCAGGACTTGAGTATGTCCAGGGCAACTTTAGGGAGTGTGGGAAGCCAAGTCCGGTTTCCTCGGGACTTCTCAGCAGGCTTACTTGGTACTGGACTGTCCTGCTGAAGATTCGAACATATACTTGGGTCGCGTATTCTAAGTGCTGGATTTGAATCTTCCCAGTTCCCTTACTGCTCCTCGAAAACATGGTCCTAGATGCTGGATGTGTTTGACTGTCAACAGTTCACATATGGTAATGGACTTGAAGGTGATTTTTCAGACTCCTGCCTTTCTATGTCAGGGGTAACCAGGCATGGGGAAAGGTGGAGGAAATTGAGTATGGAGGTCCAGGAAGGGAAGAGAAGGCAGGAAATGAGAATGCAAGATTCCAGACAGCCCAGCTGATGTGCCACATGCCTGCACCTGTCCCTGATGGATGCCCCCCACCCTGAAGAGCCATTCGTGCCTGCAGTCCTTGGCTGGGATTCTACAGACACATGGATGGATGTCTAATCTCCCTTCAAAGGTCTCCAGGGACGAGGAACAGATACCACGTCCCCTTTTCTAGATTGTCGGGTTCGAATTCAGAATTATTTTTTTGAACTATTTATTTATTTATTTGAAAGGCAGAATTTATGCACACACAGACAAATACTTATGCCAGTTGCAAGTAGGGGCTTAACCCACAGCACCACAACACCAGCCTCACAGATACTATTTTATAGGAGTGTGTTTTGGAAAATTCCAGCGTAGGACAGAGAGAGAGAAGAGGAGCACTTCCATCTG